GGAATTGTTTTTGCAACGTTTCGTGGGAATGGAAACATCGGCGGCAACTTTAATGAACATTTTTAATGGCCGACCGAATGATGGCGAATGCCTCTCCGTATATGCGAGCCGTCTTGTGACGTCACTTTTATCCAAATGGAAGACAGCGAACATGGAGGAAATTGCAGTCTCAGTTGTTTTGGCACATACATCGAAAATCGACAAAAGTCTGCAACGTATGTTATATACGACTAATATTAAAAGTCAAGACGAGATGCAACAGCATCTGAAGGCCTATGCTTATGGAAGGTCAAATGGAGGTCTACAGCCAAATATCCCAATGGAACCAGATCGCAAGAGATCGAAAACATATGGCATTAAATGTCATCATTGTGGAAACCTCGGACACAAAATGGTCGAATGTCGCAAGAGGAAGTATGAAGAAGGCAACGTGTCAAAAAACTCAGCATTACCTAAAGTTCGATCTGCCGTTACCTGCTTCAAATGTGGCGATGCTGGCCACATTGCGTCTTCATGTACGAAAGGAGTTTCTACGAGCGGTGTTGGATCACATGACAAGCGTATAAACATCTGTTGTGTGTCCGAGCCAAAAGGAATCCTGCGTCAATCTGGTGAGCTCGTTCCATTTTGTTTTGACTCTGGAGCGGAATGTACGCTCATCAGAGAGAGTTGTGCCGAGAAATTTTCCGGAAAAAGAATTAATAATTTGATAGTTTTGAGGGGTATTGGAGAAAATCCTGTGTATAGCACTATGCAAATCTTGGCTACTGTTAAAATTGATCAGTACTCCTTAGAAATATTATTTCATGTAATAATGGATAAGTTTTTGAAATACGATGTATTGATAGGCCGTGATATACTCGGATTAGGCTTTGGAGTCTCCATCGAGGCCGACAAATTTGAAATGTACAAAACCAAAACTGTTGATGTACTAATAAAAGTGCCAGATATAAGTTACGTAGAGCATCTGAATAACGATAGAGCATTAAGCAACACTGATAAGAATCGTCTGCTAGAATTATTGCAAAACTATGCTGATAAATTTATTGAGGGTATTCCTCAAACGCGAGTGACTACGGGTGAACTTGAAATCCGCCTGCTTGACCCAAATAAAACTGTACAAAGGCGTCCGTATAGGTTAAGCATAGAAGAAAAAGAAGTCGTGCGAAATAAAGTAAAAGAATTGTTAGACGCAAACGTTATACGTCCTAGTTGCTCTCCATTTGCAAGCCCAATGCTGATGGTAAGAAAGAAAAATGGAACCGATCGACTATGTGTCGATTATCGGGAACTGAATGCTAATACGGTCGCTGACAAATATCCGCTGCCTTTGATTTCTGATCAAATTAATAGACTGAGTGAAGGCAAATATTTCTCCAGTTTAGACATGGCAAGTGGTTTTTACCAAGTTCCAATACACCCAGACTCTATCGAGCGCACTGCTTTTGTCACGCCAGAAGGACAGTATGAATTTTTGGCCATGCCTTTTGGATTAAAAAAATGCTTCCTCGATTTTCCAGCGCGCAATCGTGAGAGCATTGGGTGATTTGGCTCAAACGTATGCCATCGTCTATATAGATGACGTGTTAATTCTAGCGAAGACAAAGGAAGAGGCACTTGAAAGGCTACAAACGGTCTTGGAAAACTTGTCTAGAGCTGGATTCTCATTTAACATTACAAAATGCTCGTTCTTGAAAACAAGCATAGAATATTTAGGATACTTGGTTGAAGCGGGTCAAATTCGACCAAATCCACGCAAGATACAAGCGTTGGCCGAATTGCCGTCACCGCAGTCAGTAACGCAGGTGCGACAATTCATAGGCCTAGCCTCGTATTTTAGGCAATTCGTACCAAAATTTTCTGAGCAGATGAAAGCTTTATATAATCTCACCTCCAAGAATAATAAATTTGTCTGGAAGCCGGAATATGAGGAAATTCGTCAAAAAATCGTATCAATTTTGACTAATGACTCCGTTTTGACAATTTTCGATCCACTAAAGCCAATTGAATTACATACAGACGCAAGTTCTATTGGATATGGTGCTATTTTAATGCACAAGATAGAAAATAGACCCAGAGTCATTGAATATTACAGCAAATGTACGACAATGGCTGAAGCAAAATATCATTCATACGAGCTTGAGACCCTCGCAGTTTACAACGCAGTAAGACACTTCCGCCATTATTTACATGGTCAAAAATTTATTGTGCATACAGATTGCAACTCCCTGAAAGCAAGTATCAAAAAAATTAACCTTACCCCAAGGGTACATAGATGGTGGGCATATCTGCAATCATTTGATTTCAGCATTGAATACAGGAAGGGAGAACGCATGTTACATGCTGATTTTTTCTCGCGCAATCCGTTGCCTACTGATTATAAATCCTCAGCGAAAACGGTTGAAATGCACATAAACCTAGCTGAGATAACCGACGATTGGCTTCTAGCCGAACAGCAACGAGATTCTGACATTGCTTCCATAACCTTAAAATTGCGAAACCATAAGATGGGAGAAGCTATCTCAGCGTCGTACGAATTGAGAGCAGGAGTATTATATCGAAGGATTCAAAGAAATGGCAGCACAAAATGTTTGCCTGTAATACCTAGAGCCTTTAGATGGTCAGTCATTAACAATGTTCACGAAGCCATAATGCATTTAGGGTGGAAGAAAACTCTAGACAAAATGTATGCCAACTACTGGTTCGAGAAGATGTCTAAGTATGTGAAAAAGTTTGTAGAAAATTGCATTACCTGTAGAGTGTCAAAACCACCATCTGGTAAGCCACAAATAGAAATGCACCCGATTCCTAAAGATGACATACCCTGGCACACTGTGCATATTGATATAACCGGAAAATTAAGTGGCAAAAACGACTTAAAAGAGTACATCATAGTTCAAGTTGATGCATTCACAAAATTTGTTCACCTTCAACATACGCTGAACCTTAATACGGAAAACTGCATTAAGGCAGTCAAAGAAACTGTTGCACTATTCGGAGTGCCGGCACGCATCATAGCTGATCAGGGTAGATGTTTTGCTAGCACAAGGTTTAGGGAATTTTGTTCTTCGCAGAAGATAGGTTTACACCTGATTGCGACGGGCGCCAGTCGAGCAAACGGCCAAGTAGAGCGTGTCATGAGCACCTTGAAGAGCATGCTCACAGCGGTTGAGAGTAGTCAGCGATCCTGGCAAGACGCTTTAAAAGACATACAGCTGGCAATAAATTGCACGACAAATCGTGTAACGAAATATAGTCCGTTAGAATTGCTAATCGGTAAAGAGGCAAGGCCGTTAGGAATGATAACAATATCAGATGAAAAAACAATTGATAAAGATTTAATAAGAGCACAAGCGAAAGATAACATGGTGAATAACGCTAAATATGATAAGGCTAGGTTTGATAAAAATAAAGCAAAAATTGTAAAATATAAGCTTGGTGATCATGTCCTACTCAAGAGGGAAGAACGAAATCAAACGAAGTTAGATCCCAAGTTTAAGGGACCTTTTGAGATAATCGAAATACTTGATGGAGACAGATATTTATTAAAGTCATTGACGAGTAAGCGCACGTTTAAGTATGCACATGAGTATTTGCGAGCTTTTCCAAGCAACAATGTATCGGAGGAGTTGATAGATTTGAGAGATGATGAGTGTGACAATGTTGAGGACATTGCTCAAGACACTGTGGCACTAAGAGAGAGTGCGGTTGGGCTCATACACGATGGCTAAGACCGCACCATAATACTCACGCCGTGCACAAGTGCTCGATCATGGCGTGCTGAAGCGGGTGATATTATGGCGGGGGTCAGAGGTTGAAAGACCTGTATGGATCCGCTCCATGTTATCGTTGCTGGGCAGCAAGAGCCTATAGACGTGTGATGACAGAACAACAACAAAAAAAAAAAAAAAAAAAAAAAAAAAAAATAAAAAAATAAAACCTACAATGACCGATGATACTGCTGTTTGTAAAGCTATTCTTAAAGTAAAGTAATGACTAATAAATTTTACCCAACAATTTTGACTATGGCATGATCTAAGCGAAATGTACACACGAGGACGTGTGAAATGTCAGGAAGGCCGTGTCGTGTATCCAATAAATTATTGTGAGTATTATTTTGAATGCTAACGATTAAGTGTTAGTAAGAATCAGAGAATTTGACAGAAGGTACTGCTATTTAACATAACTGTCCTACTTGTATTAGGGTTGCTACTGAAAGCATGGTGTGAGAAAAAAAAGATAGTCTCTGCCGAGCATGGCCCGAGTGTGTTGTATAACGTCCAGTTTCCTATAGTGTTGAATGTTCACTAACAGTACTAAAAGTCAGAGAAGAATATAGAATGACAAGAGCATGAGTAGTATGCTCGAGGACGATGAAAATTATGGATTCTAAAAGTGGAAGTCATAGAGAACAGACGTGCTCGCTCCTAAAAATATAATTATTTTGTGACTATAACGACACTCGGGACTTGCTGTGCTGCCAGTATGCCTAATTGCAAAGAAAGTGATTTCTCTGTTCCGACATATATTTATACTCTCGTATATTCTCTATGCAGAAGGTGGCGCATTGTAAGCCGAGTCGAGTGGGTTAATATGTATATAAAGCGAGTGGAAAATGGGCTTTAGAGCAGACAAGAGTAGGCATAACGACTAAAGATAATTCTTAAATAAAATACATAAATACTCAAGTAAGGGAGATGTTTCCCAGACTTATAAAATAATTACTCTGAGTATATTTTGTGGCAATTAATCTAATTAATTAACTATTTTCGATAGAGTATAAAACAATCGGCAAATTCAAAGGAACATTATTTATAAAAGGCTATTTTTCGAAACTTAATTTTCGATTTCTCCACACAGCTAAATCGATTCGATTTATATGACTAATGAAATTCTGAGATGTTTCTTTCTGATTGATCTTTTTTGTTTTTTGTAATATTAATATATTCTGTTTACTTCAAAATCTGGTAACCTGTTAGAAATTGATGATAACATCAAAATACAATTGACGCGAAGTGCCGGGGCACATTACAGTAAAATATATTTGAATTCAAGCTGTCAAAGATCGAGCGCACACTGTGCCTTCATTAGAACCTCTTTAGATTTCTCAAACATATTCATTTCAAATTCAGTTAGTGGCAACTCAATTACTTTCTGTACGCCGTGAGTGCCCAGTATGCATGGCAGAGACATGACCACGCTATCATTGACGCCCATTAGGCCCTGAATATCGCTGCCCACGGACAGAATGCGTCCGCTGTTCGTCATCATAGCCTGAATGATGTCAACAATGGCTAAGGCAACGCCCCAGTTTGTGTAGCCCTTGATCTTGGATACCGATGAGCCGGCTTTGACCACATCCTCGTGAACTTTTTGCCATTTCTCCTCATCTTGATCTCTGCCGATATTTGGCAATAGGCGTAGCAATGCAATGCCGCCCACCGTAACGCCCGACCAAACGGGCACCGAGCTATCACCGTGCTCGCCCACAATGAAGGCGTTTACCTCGGACGCTGCCACGCCCAGACGCTGGGCAAGAAAATAACGAAAGCGCAAGGAATCCAGATGACAGCCGCAAGATATGCAACGCTCCTTGGGTAAGCCGCTCATTTTTCGCACCGCCCAGGTCATGACATCGGCCGGATTCGAGCTAATCACATAAGTCGCATCCGGACTACTTTCGACCAACTTAGGCACCAGCTTCGACAATAGCTCCAACGACTCCTTGGCAATATCTAGGCGACTTTTGCCGGCTGGTCTTGTGCCAACCGTTATGATAACGTATTTGGAGCCAGCCGTGCAACTGGCATCCGTACAGGTTTCTATTTTGGGCGATGCCAGTAAGCTGGATACGTGCAAGAAATCGAGAGCTTCCGCTTTGACCCATTCCTGGCGCAAATCCACCATCACCAAATGATTGGCCAATCGTCGATCAATCAGAAATGCACAACACGAAAGACCCACCTGCCCGGTGCCGATCACTGAAATCTTATCCGCCGGCTCGCTGGGCTGACCCATTACCTTAACATATTGCTTCTGGAACGTAGACATTGGTAAGTTGAAATCTGCTTGCCAATACGGACGTTGACAAATGTGAACCGATCTTGTTAACAATTGGGCCAGCATATTATAAACTGTTAATTTCGAAAATAGTCGAGTGCTAATAGTGTTTAAATATGATTAGATTTTCATTTCCACTAAACTAAAACTATACCCTTAATGGGGTTATCTATGTGTATAAGGGTTTTCATTTGCAGAACTGACAAATAGTATTGTATATGGAACTAAATCTTACGCTCATAACGTAATTTCCCTACCTAAAGAGCAGTGTTGTACAATTTCGAATAATTTTCTCAATATTTTTCTTGATCGCATTCTGTACTTAAAAAATCTACTGAATCGTGTTGCAAAATGAGCGCTATTTTAATAGCCAAATTAAACCAGCACAATACATTTTAAATATGTCCCTAGATTTAATTGTAGTAGTAAAATTAAAAATGTTTTTATTGGTCAAATTTAAGCCTTACAAAAAATGTCCTTCGATATGGAAATGTACTTGATCAAAGAAATAATAACCCTACTTCTAGAGTAGTGCTGTAAAATGTGCGATTGTCTTGAAAACAACAATCGATTGGTTTTGTTGCTATCGGTAGTAGTTGGCATTATCAGAAAAACATTTCTTTGCCATTTATTTAAATAAAAGAAATAAAAGAACAGAAAATAATATAAAGCTCATGAAATTAAATTCGCTTGTTTGTTATCGCCTACATTGACACATTTTTGTATTTTTTATTCGTAGAGATTTTTTATATAAAAATAAGTATCTAACGTTTGGGGAGCAGAATCAAATTGATCGATAACTATCGATAGCTACGGGAATCAAGTAATGGAATGAATTGAATTGGAATTGAATTTTAAGGAAACACATTCCTTTATTTTGCCGCTTTTCTAGACTGTCAACTTCGCCTATTGCTCGACCTTAAGAATGGCATATGGAAAATGAAGAACTTGTTCAACAGGCAGCGTGTTTTAAGCAGCCTTAGCCAAAAAAACATATTCATATAGTATATATATATTCACATCTATGCATAAGCTCGCATAAGCATTAGCATATTTTAATTAAAATCCGACCGCAGCAACGTTGCACGTGGCGTATGAGTGATGTCTGTTCACAAACGCGAATAGCTGCAAGTGGCTGGCTTATTTTTATTATAATGTACCCTTCTTTTTTATGACTATCGTTTTAAGCTGCAGGCAAACTATTTAAATTGTATATATGATAACAGAACCAGCTGCGGTCACCTTCAGCTGCAGTTTATATCTGAAGGCTTATACGGCTGCCGATTTCGATTTCGAGTCCGGCAACGGCATATCCGGTTGTTCTACGTGCCGCCCGTATAAATTGGGCCACAGTTTGTCTTGTTGTGCCTTGGAAATTGGCCACAAAATGAAAATGGCCAAAAGCAACAACGGCACAAATGTAACGTAATTACACGACAATAATGCTTTTGCAACATTTACGTTGTTTTTTTTTTTTATAACGAGCTGCTGCGGCAAATATCTACGGCATCAATTTGGTATAATTGAATGCAGGTCAATAATATGACAAGAAAAAAAAAAACAGCAACAGCCCGCACAATTAAAGGGCAACGCACAGTGGTTGCAAAATTGCGCAGCGGCGGGTATGAAGGTAATTTTCTTTTCGATTTTCCTTCTTTTTTTATTGTTTCAAAATATTTAAGCGACGAGCAGCTTTGTGATTAAATTACCAATTAATATATCTGCAACCCTAAAGCGAGCTAATCAGCTTGTCTCGCCTCTCTCAATTAAGCTCTTACTAATTTAGACAGCTATTTCGAGCCTTTCTAACACTGGATTCAGCTACCTTTATGTAACTGCAGTTGGCAACACTGGTTCTCAGCCCTGTTGTCTCTGTCTCAGAGCCTGTAGTAAGCCTCTTGTATAACTAATTTATCCTGCTTTATCGATACGTACCTACTCTTGCTAAAGCCCATTTGAATTGCGAAATTAAGGCTTTATTATCTGGTATTTTAGTATTATCTAGCACAATTGATATGCATAACCTTAAAATGTATTGCTATTTTTGTGGTATAAAGCTTGGAATTTTGGAGTATTGAATTATGATCGAAAAGAAATTTTATTGTATATTTCCTTGCAAGCGCGTTTTATTTTATGGCTTTTTGGTTTGTTGCCACAGCTCGTTGCATTCAGTTGCCTGTGGCATGAGGCGTTTTTAAAGGGTTTGCAATCGATTCTTTTATAGGCTTATCCTTTTTTTTAATGCCTCAAAATTTCACCACTGTACAACACAGTTTTTGGCAATTTACGTGAGTGTGTCGCGAGCAGAGGTGTGGAAGGGGGGAAGGGGGCGGAGCTCGGCGCGACGCCCGCTCTACTTTTTTTTGATGTTTTACATAAGGAAAAATAAAATAAAATAAACATTACTTATGCTCGACACGTCGCGGTTGGCGTTGCAGCCGAAGCGTGACTGCGTGTATGTGAGAAAAATTGCGTGTGTGTGTGTGTGTGTGTTATCGTTTAACTGTCCATATAAGTTTGTGTGTGTGCCCTCAAATCGCACACTCGCAACGAGCCGCGGGCAACAAAGTTGAAGTCGTTGGCGATAAAAGCGCAAACACACACAAACACACACACACACACACCTGCACACACCAGCACACACACCTGCAGACATACACCGTTCGCAACATTCGTACAAAGCTCAAATTGTTTGAATACTCATGTTCTCTTATTTTAATTTTTTTTTTTGGATTTTGCCAATTTTCTGTGCAGCCTCTGTGGAAATGGCAAATTGAATGCGAAATTGAACTTTTGCCAGCCAACGGGGGCGCGGCGCAGACTTTCTGGTGGAATGGCAGACATTCAAAAAATGTTGGCAACAAGGTGCGCTACATTTCCGCACGGAAATTTAGCATAATTGTGTCGCATGTCGCTGACATGGAGCGCCGGAAACAGTTGCTCCCATTTCAATAGGCTCTAAGCCAAACTAAACTTTAACTAAAACCAGCTAAAAGAAATACAATATAAAATAGTCAAGCTAATGTTTCGATTAGAGGTTCGGTTCGTGTATCTGATAAGTTGCTATCGATTTTTGATTTAATTTTGTTAATTGAGCATTGTTCTATGTTCCAGCTTGAGCTAGGGATTCGCTTTAAGCTTCGTTTCAAGTTGATAAATCCTATTAAAATGAGCACCTCGAGTTTATTAACATTAAATTGCTGCGGCGGAGGCCCGAAGCACAGCGCACACATTGCGTATACGCCTCGTTTGCCATGTAAATTATATGTTATTATTATTGGCGCGTGTCGTAAGCAAAAAAATAAGAAAAAAAACAAAATAGGAAGAGCCAATGAAATTGCTGCCGAGATTTTGTGCGTTAAGTAATCTAGGTAAATTTATGTTAGAAATGAAAAGCCACAGCATAAATGGGCAGCATTTAATTTTTGAGCAAGGGCTTTTAAATAGTAACTATGTAATAAAAGTACTCAAAGACATTGTCATATTCTTTTAGTTTTAAGCAACATTCAATTACTGAGAATGTCTAAAATTAATTGTTATGTATTTCTAGCTCTGCCCGACAGCTGCATATATTTATTTGATATATCTATCTTATAAATATATCTTTAATATATATATCTACATATACATCTGCTGAGCTTTATTAAGGGCAAAGCAAAGGCAGCGGGTCGCAAATACAGTTCATGCCACATGCCACATGCCACACGCCGCGCAAATCAATTAAATTTATGCCAATGTCAGGCGATGTCTGTGTGTGTGTGTGTGTCTGTGTTTATGTCAATAGCTGTTTTAAGTTAATTAATCAAAGCTGTGGCAATTTTTGCAAACGCTGCCCAAAGCTCATTTAAATTTGGGTTGACCAAAGTTTGCTGTGGGCCAGCTCAGGAGCTGGCTAAGATTTCCACGTGCCGCAAGAACAGGTGAGAAGCAGCAGCAACAGCAGCAGCATCTGGCTAATTTACAACATTTGGCAAAAATCGTGAAAAAATTCCAGCAAAAATAAAAGCAAACAAATTTTTTTTTTTTTTGCTTGTAATTTAAACGCAATTAGTTTGCGTTCCGATTTGTAAACAATTTGCATTTTGTTATTTGGCCTTTTGGTATTTGGCTTTAAACATTTTAGCCGCAATTTGTTGATATTTTATTGTCGTTGTTGTTGTTGTTGCTGTTGTTGCTTTGGGTTTCAAGGTAAAATAGCGTTCGATTTGGCGTGTTCATTTCATTTTACACTGGCAAGGGGCTGCCAGGGATGGAGAGGGGGGAGGGGCATTGTTGGTTGCAGCACGCGGCTAATTGCCACTTGAAAAGTGTCCGTGCATAGCTTGGTGTGGGCTGGTTTTCTAGGGTCAAGTTGGGTAGAAGCAAAAAAAAAGAAAACAGGTCTGCAAAACTGTGGCACGGACAACGTGGCATGCCACACACACACACACACACACACAGACACACGCGACGGCTGACAACAATGCCGCACACAATTGTCCTTGCAAGGACACACACAGCTGGCACGTCAACGTCTTGGGCTGCTGCTGCTGCGAAAATATTGATCCACATTTTCTTCTTTTTTAAAAAGAAAAACGTTCAACATGTCCAGGTGTGTGTGATAGTGGGGAGCGGGGGGCAAGTCAGGTGCTGCCGTCCCGGGCAATGTCTCTGCCATGTCCTTTGCTCAAAATTTATGAATTGCGCTTCTTTCTCTGTGTATTGTGTGTGTGTGTGTGTGTGTGTGTGTGTGTGTGTTTGTTGTGTGTTGCCTGCGGCTGCGTCTTTGCAGCCAGTCGCACACGTTGCGTATACGCAATGTTTATTGATTGCAAACGAATGTGTTGCGCCTGCCAAGCAATTCAACATTTTCCATTTCATTGTTCATTCTTGCCCCCAAAGTATGTGTACAAAACATATATATATATATATATATATATATACTCTTTTTTGGTCAAAGAAAGGGAAAGCGAATTTCGTAATATTGGTTTATTTGTCAATGTAATATTTTATGTAAGATTTAAGGCTGAAAGGAGTTGCACATATAGACATTAATGGGCTTAAGGATTTTTGTGCATCAGAAACAATCGGAGCCCAAGATAGTGGCAAGGTCGGGGGAGATAGGGAAGATAGGGAGGCAATATATATATTCTCTTGGCCTTTTTAAGT